CATTCATTCATTCGTTCACTCATTCATTCGTTCACTCATTCATTCGTTCACTCATTCATTCATTCATTCATTCACTCACTCACTCATTCACTCATTCATTCATTCATTCATTCATTCATTCATTCATTCATTCAGTCACTCACTCATTCACTCAGTCACTCACTCATTCACTCATTCATTCATTCATTCATTCATTCATCCATTCATCCATTCATCCATTCATCCATTCATCCATTCATTCCATTCATTCCATTCATCCATTCATTCATTCATTCATTCCATTCCATGCCATGCCATGCCATGCCATGCCATGCCATTCCATTCCATTCCATTCCATTCATTCATCCATCCATCCATTCATCCATTCATCCATTCATCCATTCATGCATTCGTCCCTCCATCCATCCACCTACCCATCCATCCACCTACCCATCCATCCATCCATCCATGCATTTATTCGTTCGTTCGTTCCTTTCTTCAGTCCTTCATTCCTTCATTTGTTCGTTTGTTTGCTCGTTCATTTGGTGCGTTCACTCTTTCGTTGATGCAGTCAGTGGTTCAATCATTGGTTCATTGATGAAACCATTTTTTTTTGATTCACTTTGTTTTCTCATTGAGTAATGGTTGATTCATTCGTTCAATGGTTGATTCATTCATTGCTTCATTCTTTGATTCGTTCATTCGCTGGTTCCCTCATTCATTGGTTGTTTATGGATTCATGTATTGATTCATTCACTCAGTCATTCGTGCACCGATTCTTTCGCCTCGGCACCACCAGTCACTAACTGGTAGATACTGTATCCCTTGTGATTTTTGGCGAAATTGGGGAGCTGACGATCTGCTCACTGCAAACTCAGATGTACTGTCGCTATCTCAAAATATCAGAACAAAACCACATTGGACTAATATCCCTAAATTTGGGATCGTATGGGATGCAATCTTTGAAAAATGCGGATTTAGACCAGACATGGGGATATCAATTAACAAACAACGGTCATTTCAACCAACACAAATGCTTTTGTTCGAACATTTGAATTTTCCTCTGGTAATCAAACATGGCAGTGGAGAATCTGCAACAAATGAGGTTTCAATGAGAAAATCACTCAGAGGTGGGATTTTCCATTGCCAATGTTGGATTACCAGATGATGGCCAAGGCTGGAGGTGGCAGACAACCTGTGAGACTCCGAAAGCGCAGGCGCCAAAATTGGGGCAGCGTGGGCTCAGAGATGACGCTTCGTAGAGTTTGGCTTGGAAAATACAATTTTGTCAATCGAAGATGGGAATCGGAGAAAACACCAATCTGTAGAACATGTTTGTGTTAGAAACGGGGATTCTTCGCCTGGCCTTGCGGTGCAGGCGTGAATTCAATTCCTCAGGCAGCTTTGAAGGCCAGCTGCATGGCGGAGAAATTTAAAGTATAGCCACCTGTGTTCGCACACATATTTTGCTTGAATTTGAAACATCAGTCCGATGCAAAGACCTTGTGAAAAGTTCGTTGGATCGTTCTGAATGAGTAGTTGGAGGAATCTGGAAAAGGCACCATCGGCACTAACAGCAGAAGAGGATACTATGCCATTTGAGGATTTGATGTTTACGTACAGTATTGGCACTGATTTTGTATCAGCTGATTGGTTGCACTCAACTGGCTCAAGCTGCTGCAACGCCCTGTGATCGCCACATTTGTTCTTTTCACTAGGCCCTTCCAACGGCATGGCTGTACGACCTGAGTCAGTGGAAGATTGGTGCCAAATCATGCCTAACTTGTTGGAGGAGGAAGGCTGGAAAACGACTTTGGCCCAGGAAGGTGCTGCGTTGATGCATAGCAGCTGTCCTTGGGGTGGTTACCTGATCAAGTTTGAGCTGAAGGGGCTTACAGTACACAATGCCCCGGCAGACAGTAGCAAGGTGATTGTCCGACCTGAAGTCCGAGCTCTCCTGCAAGGCACATGCCCCATTCCGGGCATCACCGTGCAGTCCTTGGACGTCGTGGCTCCTGGAGAGGCGGTGGTTCAGGCGTCCACCTCTTGGAGCATCATGCGGCTTTGCTCCGTGTTGTTCGGTGACATTGTTGGGCAAGTCATGGATTACCTCTGTGATGATGCACCTATGGCATGGCATCAGAAAGTGGGCCGAAACTATCCTGACCAAGGAGACAGCTCTTGTTCCTTCTGGATGGAAGATTCCGATGACAAGCCCCATGAATGCCTCATCCTTGTCAGACCTGAGACTGAAAAGGAAAAGTTCAGTGCCTTTGTGATTGTGCGGGTCCATGAGAACCACTTTGCGCGATGGGCCAGTGAACATTTCCGCTTTGTCTTGAGTTCTGCCCGCAGCACCGCAGAGTCATACTTGAATCGCCCTGGAATCGCTGAGCTGAGAGAAATGGACGCGCAGTTCTATGTCGTCATCTCCATGCAAAGCTTCAAGCGAGGGATGCCGCTGTTGCCAGCCTATCCTGATGAGCATTGCCTCTCTGAAATTGATGCAGGTGAGCCCTTTGGTCTGCGCAGATGGGTGCGGTATGAGCCAAGCACCAAGAAGTTCCAGCTGGCTCAATACCTCCCAATCTTCATGCAGCGTTTGGGTTTCGAGATTGAAGCCTACAACAGCTTGGACGGCCAGAAGTTGGTTCCTTATCAGTGCGTGGTACGCCGTGCCGACTGGGAGCAGATGCGTTCTCGTTTTCTTGTTGCCTACCCCTTGCAGAAGACGGCCTATCGTCGTGCCAATGGTGGGTCTGGCTCGCCAGGGGTACACGAGGACGTGCTTCCCAAGTTTGTGACGCCCACGGCAGTGAACATCCAGGAACGTATGGAGCAAGAGGCATGGCCGAAGCTGGTGGTGCGGAAGACTTTCTTGGATCTGGAGGATGACACCTCCTCCAGTGGCTCCCCGAAAGTGCGCCCACCGCGACGCCCAAAGACCACACACTTTGGGCGACTTCTCGTGCCATCTTTGCCATAAGCCGAAGGCAGCGGAGCGGCGCACAAGAAGGCCGCCTCCACTTGTTCATCCCTTGCATAGCTGGATCGCTTCATTGCAGCTGTGTACGTACTAAAATAATTTTGATGATATTGACGTATTGCGCAGTCTAAAGCCATTTAGCGGGATGAACAGGCAAGGCAGGCAGGCACCAGGTAGATCTATGATATCATAGGTGGAGGTGGACAGTCTAGATTGAGCCACCAACATCTATTGCAAGGATGCAAAATGTGGCATTTGCAGTTGTAAAGTGTGTAAAGATAAATCCTGCAGCGGCTCACAAAGGGCACCCGTCAAATGCGATGGTCAAGTGAGGGCGCCTTAATTCATTGCTTCGGCATGAGAAACGATTTCCTGCATCTGGCTGGATGCGTTTATGTGCAAGTTACTATCATTCACTTGAATTGGCGTCGTTTAGACATTTGCGCCCAAGCACTACATGCCAGCCTGTACAGATGCTTGGCATGTTGGGCACTGGGCAAGGCCTTTTTCTCCGCAAACATCATCAAGAAACAGCCCATCAGTGCAGTAAAGCGTACAGAGGGCGTTGTATGCTTGGTGATGTGCGAGAACCCATAGCACTTCAGCGATAGGGAAATTCATCGAGATTCGCTCATTGCTCTGTTCAAGTCTTTTCTCCTACTGAGATGGAGCCATAGATTGCTATTGTCTCAATGTAAATACAATATATATATATATATGCACATAAGTTGGGTCGCGGGGTCGCTTGGAACCACGGGATTTGGATCGCTTAGAACCGCGCAATTTGGATCGCTTAGAACCGTCCTGGAATCATCATCATCATCATCACCATCATCATCATCATCATCAGCTGGTAGATCACCTGCAGCAGCGATATCATCCGTCATCATCAGAATGAAAATCATCATCATCATCATCATCACCGTCATGTTCATCACCATCATCATGATCATCATCACCACCATCATCATCATCATCATCACCGTCAGCACCATCATAATCATCAGCATCCGCGTGAACAAATGAGTTGCTTTCTCGCGTGTACAGCCGAGTCGGGTTCGTGTGTACAACCGAGGCACCTACCTCACCTGAAATATGTATGTATGTACGTATATATATATATATATACGTACATAGATATAAAAACAATGATGCACTTGAGAATACATGTTTTGTTTTTCCGGATTTTGGAACCTTTTCAAGAAAAGCACGGTAAATCTATGCAAATCTAGTTTCTGCCGAGGTTTTCACGGCATCCAACTAGACACAACCTGATGGAAATTCTAGGGAAATGGCTGCCTTGGACCTCTGAGATCTCACCCTCCTACTTTGGAACATCAACGTGGACAACGCAGTCGCACTGTTTTCAGCGCGTGTTAGCAGTTTGAATAATTTAAATCAGCAGGTATTCTCCAAGAAATAGCATGAATATGTCTGATGGATGAGTTGCCTCAGAATAAAAAGGTCCAGAATGAGTTGTCCCCACTTGTCCCCTAAACCCACCCCATGTCCCAGCCATGTCCCCACTTGCCCCCTAAACCCACCCCATGTCCCAGCCCCGTGTCCCCAAGTGTTACCCTAAAGGTCTCATTCCACCCTGCTGGTCCCCTAAGCCCACCCCATGTCCCAGCCCCGTGTCCCCAAGTGTTGCCCTAAAGGTCTCATTCCACCATGCCCCTGAACCCACCCCATGTCCCAGCCCCGTGTCCCCAAGTGTTACCCTAAAGGTCTCATTCCACCATGCCCCTAAACCCACCCCATGTCCCAGCCCCATGTCCCCACTTGTCCCCTAAACCCACCCCATGTCCCAGCCTGGTGTCCCCAAGTGTTACCCTAAAGGTCTCATTCCACCATGCTGGTCATAGCAGCCTCAACCATCAACATCCGGACTGGTGGTTCTGCTGATCCTATTTGTGTGGTTCTAAGTGATGCTTTTTGGTTCTAAGTAATCCTGTGGTTCTGAGTGATCCCAATCCTTTGGTTCTAAGTGATCCCCCAACCCATAAGTTGATCCCGGTCTAAGCAGGTTTGTTTTCCCTGTCCAGATTGAATGCCTTCGTCTCGCATCTGACTCTGGAAGTCTGATTGAAGGAAGCTTAGAAGGCAAACTTCCGACAATATGGTCAGATGAAGTTGCAGAGGTGGGAAGAGTCAGAGAAGAGAAGAGAAGAAAACGAGTCAGAAAAAAGAAGATGCAGGTGCGCGAAAAGGTAGAAAAGTCGCGGTTCACTGTGTTTTTCCAATGTTTTGTGGCTCCAAAGGGTCAAACAGTAGGCTTGCTAAAGCGGCGGGTGCGGAGCCATCTGGCCGGATGAGAGATGAAAAAGTGCACGCCGTTGTGGCGCGAAACACATTTCGAAGTCAGTCAAAATGTACAAAGCACACCACGTTCAGAGCACTTTTGGAAGTTGAGATGTTGGAAAAGTGCACGCCGTTGTGGCGCACGTACAAAACACACCACGTTCAGAGCATTTTTGGAAGTTGAGATGTTCAAAAAGTGTACGCCGTTGTGGCGCGAAGCACATTTCGAAGTCAAAAAGTACAAAACACCACATGTTCGTGCCGCTTTTGGGCGTTGAAGCGTCGTTTTGTGTGACAGGCGCAAGGGATTCTCCACCCTGACAAAAGTGAGCAAAAACGTGAGGGTTTTGTAGCATGTCCAAAACCGATGGCAGGCGTTGGACATTTGAAGAGGATCTGCAAAAATGGATTTCGCGTGGCAAGTGCAGTACAAGAGACATTGCCATCAGACATGTTCATCAGAGATGTTAGGAGGTCCGGGCGCTGATTTCTTGAGAAGGGGTTGCATTTTGGAGCATTAGATCTTCAGGTTCGCTAAGATGATTTTGCGTGACAGGTGCAGCACTTTTCGTATGACCTGGCATCACTTTTTCCTGGCAGGCGCAGTACTTTAGACAGATGGAATGGAACAAATGCAAAACGCATTGGCATTTTTGAAGGAAGTCTCGCAGAATTGCTTCGTTTTTGATGTTGTCAACTTCGAAAATTGAAGAAGTCTCGCAGAATTGATTCGTTTTTGACCTTGTCAACTTCGAGAATTGAGGAAGTCTTGCAGGAAAGCTTCGTTGTCAATCTTGCAGACAGACAGATAGATAGATAGATAGATAGATAGACAACTACAACTACAACTGCCACTACCACTGCGCTACACTACACTACTACTACAACTACAAATATACTACGCCACGTTACGCTATACTACTTACACTACGCTACGCTAACTACATCTAATCACACTACAACTACAACCTCTACTACTACCACAGCTACAACTACAATTACAACTACACTAAATTACGCTACGCTACACTAATTACAACGCAGTACGCTACAGCTACAAATACAAATACAAGTACACTACACTAATTACACCACACTACAACTACAACTCCACTACACTACAACTACGACTCCACTACGACTCCACTACGACTCCACTACGACTACACTACACTACAACTACAACTACACTACAACTACAACTACAACTGCAACTACAACTACAACTACAGCCGCAGCATTGCAACTTCAGCAACAGCTACAACTACAACTACAATTACATTGCGCTTCGCTACACCACACTACATCCTGCAGTTGTTGGTGAGGTGACTGCTGCAACCACTTCAAAAATCACAACCACCTTTCGGCCCATCAGTGGATTTGCTCTGCCATCCATGCACTCACCAATGCATCACAACAACTCACTCGAGCCGGATCCCAATCTGAGAGTCGGTTTCGGGTTTCGGGTGTCGGGTTTCAGGTTGTGCGCCCGAAGTCAAGTCTGAGAGTCGGCCTCGGGTTTCGGGTTTCGGGTTTCGAGCGTCGAAGCCAGTTCTCCAGACCTCTCTCCGGATCATGTCTCCAAGCAGATGGTAGTGAATGCTAGAAAGTTTGGTGAAGTCCGAGGCCTTTCACTTGCTGCTGGGTGGTGTCAATGATTTATCCGAACCATGTGGCTCAAGCTGCTGCAACGCCCTGTGATCGCCACATTTGTCCTTTTCACTAGGCCCTAGGCCCTTCCAACGACATGGCTGTGCGACCTGAGTCAGTGGAAGATTGGTGCCAAATCATGCCTAACTTGTTGGAGGAGGAAGGCTGGAAAACGACTTTGGCCCAGGAAGGTGCTGCGTTGATGCATAGCAGCTGTCCTTGGGGTGGTTACCTGATCAAGTTTGAGCTGAAGGGGCTTACAGTACACAATGCCCCGGCAGACAGTAGCAAGGTGATTGTCCGACCTGAAGTCCGAGCTCTCCTGCAAGGCACATGCCCCAATCCGGGCATCACCGTGCAGTCCTTGGACGTCGTGGCTCCTGGAGAGGTGGTGGTTCAGGCGTCCACCTCTTGGAGCATCATGCGGCTTTGCTCCGTGTTGTTCGGTGACATTGTTGGGCAAGTCATGGATTACCTCTGTGATGACGCACCTATGGCATGCCATCAGAAAGTGGGCCGAAACTATCCTGACCAAGGAGACAGCTCTTGCTCCTTCTGGATGGAAGATTCCGATGACAAGCCCCATGAATGCCTCATCCTTGTCAGACCTGAGACTGAGAAGGAGAAGTTCAGTGCCTTTGTGATTGCGCGGGTCCATGAGAACCACTTCGCGCGATGGGCCAGTGAACATTTCCGCTCTGTCTTGAGTTCTGCCCGCAGCACCGCAGAGTCATACTTGAATCGCCCTGGAATTGCTGAGCTGAGAGAGATGGACGAGCAGTTCTATGTCGTCATCTCCATGCAAAGCTTCAATCGAGGGATGCCGCTGTTGCCAGCCTATCCTGATGAGCATTGCCTCACAGAAATTGATGCAGGTGAGCCCTTTGGTCTGCGCAGATGGGTGCGGTATGAGCCAAGCACCAAGAAGTTCCAGCTGGCTCAATACCTCCCAATCTTCATGCAGCGTTTGGGTTTCGAGATTGAAGCCTACAACAGCTTGGACGGCCAGAAGTTGGTTCCTTATCAGTGCGTGGTACGCCGTGCCGACTGGGAGCAGATGCGTTCTCGTTTTCTTGTTGCCTACCCCTTGCAGAAGACGGCCTATCGTCATGCCAATGGTGGGTCTGGCACGCCAGGGGTACGCGAGGACGTGCTTCCCAAGTTTGTGACGTCCACAGCGGTGAACATCCAGGAACGTATGGAGCAAGAGGCATGGCCGAAGCTGTTGGTGCGGAAGACTTTCTTGGATCTGGAGGATGACACCTCCTCCAATGGCTCCCCGAAAGTGCGTCCACCGCGACGCCCAAAGACACACTTTGGGCGACTTCTCGTGCCATCTTTGCCATAAGCCGAAGGCAGCGGAGCGGCGCACAAGAAGTTCATCCCTTGCATAGCTGGATCGCTTCATTGCAGCTGTGTACGTACTAAAATAATGTTGATGATATTGACGTATTGCGCAGTCTAAAGCCATTTAGCAGGATGAACAGGCAAGGCAGGCAGGCACCAGGTTGATCTATGATATCATAGGTGGAGGTGGACAGTCTAGATTGAGCCACCAACATCTATTGCAAGGATGCAAAATGTGGCATTTGCAGTTGTAAAGTGTGTAAAGATATCCTGCAGCGGCTCACAAAGGGCACCCGTCAAATGCGATGGTCAAGTGAGGGCGCCTTAATTCATTGC